ACGGCGGCCGAGAGAGTTCGCTCACAATGCGCCGGTAAATCACCCCGGAGGCAAGACAAAAGCGGCGGAATTCAGCGGGGAAAAAAGTCGGTCACTGCAACGACGTGCTATGGACGCAAAGGCCTTGGCCACCCTCCCCCTCCCGGCTCGACTGATCGATCACAAATGAATATTTACGACGACCCTTGTAGCCCACCTCTTTCTGACGCGCCGATTAGTTCTAAGGAAGAGGCGCGAATAACAATAAGTTCGCACGTCGCGAGCCGCGCGATAAACTCGCATTTGTATGCGTGGACTTTGTCCTCTCTCGAGCGCAAGCCGGTTTATGGAAACTATGGAAATCATTCGACCGATAATATCATCGCGGCTAAATGACGAGCGACGAAGAAAGCGGACGCACGCGAGACCTGACAGATAGATAGATAAATAGAAAGAGAGAGAGAGAGAGAGTGAGCTCTCTCGAAATAATCGGTGTTGTGCGCATTGAGAGATATTCATGTGCGTATATCCGGTCCGCGTGATAACGCCGCATCATTCATAACGATAACGAAGACAAGAGGAATCGGCCTGTCGGCGAAATATTTCACGCTACTGCCGGACGGGAACGACGGTTAGGCCGGCGAGTATTGCGAACGAAGAATACATAATGCACCGGCCACACGCCGGCTATATTTGCATGCCGATAGTATCGACGACATTGGGTCATCGACCGACGAGTTAAGTATTTTTAATAGGCGGCCAGACCAAAGAAGCGCGCTCCACTCTCGCATTCACTGAACCGTTCATCAAGTGCAATTGATTGCCGTCGTACCGAGAAGCTAATCGCAGTCATTCGTCGTCGACGGGACGGAGAAATAGCTTTCAATCATCTTAAGGTTATTGGATCCGCTCGCTGGTTCGCGTTACGTCAACGTGCCGACGAAAATTTTATGTACGCGCGCACGGGAAGCTCGATCGATCCGGCCGGCGAGCGAAGTAAGTCGACGAAATGGATTTACGTTCGACGTTTCTTAATCTGTCTCTAGGCAACATCCCTGACCGACTTGAATAATCGAATAATTATAATTATGCAATGATATCAAATGTAGTCACTGTTGCCAACCCGTCCGGGTTTTCACCTGAATAGTCTGGTTTTACGAACGGTGGTTCGATTTTGCCGAAATTTGAAAATTGAAGAATAAATGTGTAAATACTGACAGTATATATATAAAAAATAAAAAATAGTATATTGATATATTGAAATAATAATATATAAAACAATAAGCAAGATACAATCTTTAGTATCACTGTTATTATTAACATCCTGAGGCCTTTTTTTTTTAGTCTAATGCCCGGGTGACCGTCATTAGAAAGATGGCAACACTGAATGTAGTACTATTATAACAACCCATATAAAAATTTTTTTTTAGAAGAATAGAATAATATATTATTAGCATATGGTGTAAGAAATCTGATTGCGATCTAAAGTAACAGTACGTCACGTGTATACTTGAACAAAGCGAAATGTTATCTTCTATAAAAATCCTACAACGATATGGCGAGAAGTAGGCGACGTCACGGATTAAAATCCGCGGATTCCCTCGTTCTAAGGGACGCCGCTAACGAGACGCGGGATCAGCGTTGCAATTTTAAACGCACGGTGTCTGCGACGGCGCGCAATTTTCTCGCTGCGCTGTCCATTACGACTTTCGAGGGACAATGAGACTTTATAGACGATTCTCCCCTCTCCCGGTCTTATCCCCTTGTAGTTCCCTACGTGACACCAGCCCTAATGGTGTGCCCGGAGGCCGACACACCCTATACCATCAGCGTTAGCGCGCCGCAACTCGACATTGCCTTTCTACTTTATGCAACGCGCACGGTGAGACATGTGTCATTATTTTCGCGCAACTATCTTCCCGGTTACCCGGCGGCACGTGCGATGTGCCGCTACTCGAACGTGCCGCCGGGAAAATACATTTGTTGCATTTGTTTTCGTTAAAACGCTGACAAAATGCTGCTTCCCGACACGGCGACGCTTTTAGTCTTCATTCGCGCCGTGTCTCGTTTGGGGGTATAATCTCGTTTTCTCGCAACGAACGACCCTCTTTCTCTCGCTCTCACCCGCCCCGCGTTTTATCGCGCCACGTGTTGCTCTATCGTGAATGTCAAAGCCGGCGATACTATCATTATCGCGGTAACGTATTACTTTCGTCGCGAGTTCAAAGGTCGTGCGTTAGTTACGAGCGTGTCGACACGTATCGCAATCCAAGTGCAAAACGAAGACACCGCGTCTCCCGTTTCCGAGAGCGACGCGTTAATTTGTTTTGATGCGAATGTATATTAGTAATATTAATTAGTAAATATATTACTAATTAATATTTTAGTGGGCTGTCATGCGATCGGGGTGTATCTACACGAACGCGCGTAGAAAACAAATGCGGTGATATTCATTACCGTATGAATGGTAGATTTTTCTCTATTATTTCGACGCGTAATAAATATTCATTCGTCCTTATTGTGCCCACGCATTCGATGTTGCGCCCGTGATAATATATTACCATCGTTAATTATAATTTGATTCAATTTTCTCGGTTATAACAATATCCTCGTTAATCCGAATCATATTTTCACTTTTAATCCCGCGCCGGGCACTGTCAACGTTCATGCGTTGCTGATTCTATACTATCGATCAACGTATAATAATTATGTGTAATTGGTAAATTACTTGTTAAGCGACCAGAAAATTATGCCGATCCAATGCGAAAATCGAGATCATAAATACTACAGACCCGTTACGTTATTATACGCTTCAGGATTTTCCGGCTTTGGCCGCACGTAAGGGATTAAGTGGCGTTGGAAATTGCCGGTCCCGCGATCAGATTCGCAACTTAAACGGGTTAAATGACGAACTAAAATGTTAATATAACATCGGGAATAAACATCAATAACGTTCGGACTGCGCGGAGCGTCTCTGTCGCGTCGCTTTGATAACGAGCCGCGAAATATTTCGAATTGGACGAACGATTGCGCCGGTTTTTATTATAATTGATCCGTTATTATACAATTTGTAGTGTAGGTATCCGATATCGCGCTCTCCGATATATCGAATCGTATATTTTAATGCAACTTTTATCCCCCCAAATTATTTGCACGGTAAATTATTTAAACCGCACGCGTGCGATATAATAATTCAAATACAACCATTAACCTAGATTTGTGTCCCTCCTCGGATCAATGCGCAAATACTCGTGCTTTTGCATGCTGAAAATAAGCAGTAATAATACGTTTGTATTATTAGCATTGGCCACGGTGTGACGAAAAATATGCTCGGCGGGACCGATGTTTTCCAGGCACTGATCGGAGCCACTTCCTGTTTCGATTTCGCTGTAATATTCCTACCCTGTTAGTTCTTCCTATATGAATTTCAATATTTACACTGGATAATTCGCCTAAAAAAGCTCGCTCGGCTGTTTCGATTAATCAACGATAAAACCCTGCAGAAAAATTTATTTTACGCATCGGAATCTAATTAATAATCGCGCGGCACGAAAAGCGCTATCGCTCGCGCGGCTGCGATGCGGCCGGAAGATAAATGGTAATTTCCATTTCTCGGTCGCGGACGACGGTTCTCTCCTCGTCGACGAGCGGCTTGAAGAATCACAGTCCGATTAATCTATGAAAAGGCTCGCGTGAGTTCTTCATAATAATTACGTCGCGACGAACATGGCGCGTAAGAAGCTGCCACGACGTTGAAAACCGCGAACGGAGGAGAAAAACGGTGCCTTCGTTATCCCCTAAGAGCCGTCGTAATCAATCTCTACCCTGAAGCGAGGTTTAAAGCATTGTCGTGTGTACGTAGCGCGTACAACTCACGCGACGAAATAACCACCGGCGAGCAATTCGTACGAACTTATCTGCTCGACATTTACGAGCAGAGCGGAGCCTTTTTTGGCGCGAGCGTTATATATCCCAGCGTCCAGCGGGCTTTAAAATCGGCAGCCCCGGAGCTCTCGGAATCGATATTTCGTTTGATACGCTTTCGTGACACTCGCCAAACTATATTACATTTTCATGCCCGTATTTTTCGAAATTATCGCAATCGCTGCTCTTATTTCTCCCGATACACTCTCCGAGTGCCCTGCGCACAGTAGCGTCGCGGAGCCAAATTTTCGCATAGTTCATAGTGAGAAACACACGCATCGTTAATCGAATTCGCGCGGATTTTTGCGTTCCTAATTATCGTGTGGTGATTAGAAAAAGATTGGAAAGAACACGAGGGAGATCGGCACGTCCCTCGACTCGCGAAATTACGCTCGGCTTCAATTACGTCCGACGGGCGAGTGGACGGTGATATTACGCGCGCTCGTCGTGTCGCGAAGTCGTTCGAAGTGAACTTGAAAGCTGGAAATCGCAATCTATCACGGTACGGGTGCCGGGACGCAATTCCAACGTATCAATAGCGACGGGGGACGAGGCGCGCCATTCTCCCCTTCGTTACACGTTATTCCGCGCGAAAGCGGAAATAAAACGATGATTTTTCGGCGCAGCGCGAACGCGCGTCCAGCTCGGCCGGCCGTTCGCCCGTCACGGTTTTGAAACAAAATATCGCGGATGGCGCGTTGCGGACGCAAGCTCGGGGGGATGGAAGCTATGATTTTTTTCCCCCCTACTGATCGAGTCAGAGCACACCGACTGGGACAGATTCATCCCCTCGCGCGGTGTACCGATGCGCGTCGACCTCTCCCCACCCCCTGACGCGGCCGATGACCGAAACGACAGTGGCACGATCAACACACGCTGACAGTGGGTCGCTGACGCGACCGTTCGGATCGACCGTCATTCGATGCGGTTCACAGCGACTGTCGGTCCAGTTCGCTGCGGCGGCCGTTCGCTGGGCGTGGTGGGGAGACGGAAAGGGCACGCGACCGGTCGCGGCCAGGTACGAGGACTGCGTGCGAGGGTGCCCGAAACACGCGCAGCGATCGTTAGGGGCGCTCTTCGTGCTACCGGACACCCACCTGGTTGGTACATCTACGGTCCTCTATGCCTATCGGTCGTACGGTTGCCTCTACCATTGCACACGAGCACTGCACGACACTCTTAAATCACCATCTTCCTCGCCACTGATCTCCCGCGGGTCAGTCAGGTCGTTCACACGAAAACACCGCGGTACGAATACCGGGTCCAGATCCGGAGAGCTCGCTCCGAGCGAAGGACGCACTGTACCGGTGTGTCAGTGCCGGTCGGAAACACCGGAACTGCACGGTAGAGAACTCGGGGTGGAACGACCTAGCACGCGGCTCGAGCCAGAGTTCGGCCGGTAGAGGTGGCGGAGCCAGTCGACCGAGTCCACCCGACTGCACCCACCTCGAGGCAAGGGCGCAGACTGTACTACGCGACACGGACGACGAACCTACGGTGACACCGGGGGACACGCGAGATCGACGTTCGCGGTTCCGGAGCTGGCAGTGCACTGACTCCGACCTCCTCGTTCGACCCGAGTCCGCCGCTCTGACTCCCACGCAGCGCATGCGTGGCTCAACATGGCGATGTTGCGCCGTCGTCGTCGTCGTGTCGTCGTCGACGTCGACGTCGTCATCGTCATCGTCTTCGTCGTCCCCCTTCCCTCCGACATCAGCTTGCCCTGCGCTCTCTCTCTCTCTCTCTCGTCCCATTGTGATTCCCTCTGTGCGCGATCGTGCGTGTGGTATCGCACACACGTATGCGCGCGCCGTCGTGCTTCATCCCCTAAATCGGCACTCTGCACCCCTGCGCGAGCAAGGGAGAGGGGATGAGAGAGAAAGTGAGGCGGAAGACCTCTGCCCCGGCGGTAGCACCACCGGGAAGGGGTGAGACTGAGCGTCGACGGCTCTCGCGCTCTCTTCGTGTAAGAATAAGAGTAGAAACGCTGCAGGTGGTTCGTACGATAGGTCTATGCCGACATGCGCCCTTCTTCGCGTCGTATTATCGCGATTATCGAGTGTCGAATGAGTCCACATGATCGAGCACTTAGTCATGGACTGTTCCTCGCGGTGTACGAACGCGTGACTTCCACGGGTCATGAATGAGAGTAGGGTTAACTGCGCCGATTATGCAACGCATCGACGTAAATTTCTCCTCGGCCGTGCGTCGACCCGTCCCGAGCGCCAATTTCGCAGCCCGAATTGGACGTCGGAGCGATCCTCGCATTTCATAGAAGCGATCTCACTCGTGCCTTATCTTCGATCAAATTATGTTTTCTCAGACAATCGAGATACACATGTCGCTCGAGGACGAAAAAGGTCGTTCGCCCGCCGACGATCGTGCCGATCCGATGGGAAATTAGACCGCTTCCTTCCCGTCTCTCCATCATTTCGCATTATTTAATTAGCGGTTACGGCGTTTCTATCGCAAATGCCGTCACCGTCGCGCTCACGCGATCTCCGGCTGCTCTGTCTCTTCCGTAAACTTCTCAGCGGAAGGAGCGAGGATATTTAACGAAAGTAGCCGTCGCAGCGACAATTTAACGGCTAAGTCGGGGTTGCGCAACGTTCTGATGTAACGTCGCGATTGTAAGGTGACCGAACTACGGCGAGAAAATAGTTGCGCGAGTTACAGCCTTGGAAGCGCGCGCCCTACTCGAACGTTCATAGACGGAGATCGAGCTGTTCTCTTATACCGTATCGACCATAACACACGGCACACGCGCAGGTATGGGGACGAAAAAGAGCGGCTCGCCGGTGACAGCCGGGAATTTTCGCAACGATCGCCACGGATATAGCGTGGTATGAATAAGTTACGCGCTTCCAGACGCGCATCGCGACGTTCTAGATGCGCCGCGTTCTCGTCCGCCTTTTTGTGTACAGCAGTCGCGCCGTCACTAACGAACGGTTGCGAACGATCGCCACTGCGAAGCTGAGCGCGAGCTGAATCGCGAGCCTCGAAACGAATTTGGCATCGGCTCAGGAACATCCGGGTGGTCGCCCACTTGGATATCTCGCCGAGGTAGGATGGATTCGTTGGGCGCGTTCCAACGTTTCGAATAAACGCGACGGCCTCTCTCTCTCTCTCTCTCTCTCGATATGTGTGCGTGCGAAATCGGAATTACGGTGTATTCTGCAGCGTACGCCGATGACAGGCTTAAGACACTCCGGGAAAGAAGAGGAGGAAGTGCTCACGTGAAATCTATCGATGGTACGTACAAGGCTCGTGACGTGCGGTCTATGATCTCGTTAACGATAGGGATAAGAGGTGGTAACACGTAGCTCGGGGGTGGGTGAGAGAGGGTGGTGCACGCTGTCGGAGATAAATTAGTAGATGGTTCAGATATACGTGCGACTTGGTAGATTGGTTCTACAACTAGCAGGTGAGCGCGTGTGGCGGCCGGTAAATTAAAGCGCGCTGTTAATCCCGCGCGATGCGCCCCATTCCGTTTTCGTCTTATCTAAAACGGCCGCGTAATAAAATTTGGAACGGCGAGAGCGCGCCGCGTTGCCCGTCACGACGTAATCCGACTATTATAGATCGAGATTTCGGTGAGAAACTTCGCGAAGTTACGCGCTCGTTGCCGGGCGCGTCGGAAACCGTGATAACCGCGACGATCGGTTATCGGTTTACTTTATACTCGCTCGAAAACGTTCTATTATTTTTGTCGTTATTCTGTTATCGGTCTTATGACCGTTATGAATAATCGCGAGTTTCGCATTTGTTTAAGGATGTATTTGCCTTTAAGAATGTAATTGAAAAAAAAAAATTACAAATTGATCTGCGTTACATTTAAAAATGACACCAAAAATTTGACGGTAATTTAGAACCTGTATCAAAAGTTGTTCCACTTTAAAGGAGGTTTGTTCGATCAAACTTACACTGTGTACACATTGAAATACTTGATATTGTTGTCTGGCTTCGTTTTTGGCAATATTGATGGCCAGATGATTTTTTTTATACGCTCCGTTGAGTCTTCTTTAATTCATACGTTTTATGCATAGTGTCTGATTATTGCACTTTTCTTGGTTAATTGATATCATTATTATACTGCGTTAATATCGACGACTGATCATACATGGAGGGTTTACGCAACTTTTCAAATTTTGTTTATATTTAGTCTTTTTAACATTTTAGCTTAGCTTTTACTTTAAATGTATCTGTGTAAACGTATGTATGCGGTTGTACTCGCAACACATATCTATTAAAAAAAAAGAGGGGTTTCCTGTATAATAAATAAATAAATAAATAAGTAAATAAAATAAAAGAACAGCCGTTACTGGCCGTGGATATATGTAAGACAGGACGCGTTTAACGCAATGGAGGACTTTATATCCGGAGATTTCTTGGAAGTTCGTGGTTTACCGATCGATACGCGTTATTCGACACATTGCGATGACTAATGCGCGTGCTTCGCTTTCGAAATTATCTGCATCAGTCACCGTCGGCCGTCAGGGAAACCCCCAACTTGACGTAATTCTCCTTCTCCCTCCTCCCCCCCAGAATGAAGTAGAAGGTGCTATTCGGAAAATATATTTAGAAGTCCCAATTAAATGTAAGCACCAGCAGCGAAGGTTAAACAGGCGTGAAGGAACCCCGTTTGCTCCATCTTCGGGGCACCTCTCGTTTCTCGCATCTCTCGCACCGTATGCCGAAGCGAGGCCCGTGCTGCTGGCGAAACGTCGCCTACTGTAATCCTTAATTGGTCCGCGTGATTCATTCGGTCCATTCGTCGTAACTAAACTGCTCTTCGAAGGAGGGCCCGTCTTCGCCTCCGGCGACAGAACGGAACGCGTCGGATCTGTCTCTCCTCTCCTGCTCTCGCTCCTTCGCACCGTAGTCCTTTCTCCGTGCTCTCCTTCGGCGCCTATTCCCGTTTCTCTCTTTCTCCCGTTCAATCTTAGTTACACGAGATACCACCACGACATCCTACGGTAGCCTGTCTCGCTGCCTGCCGTTATAACGTGGAATCAGATAAACAAATGCGGTCTTAACTCCGTCTGACATAATCGGCCGTGCGGGTGAGAAAGAGAGAAACGACGAGACGAAGGAGAAAGTCGATACGGCGCAACGGGGAACAGGACGAAAAAGGAAATGAAGGTAACAGGGACGAAAACGTATAAAATCGAGTGGAATTATATAATATAGAAACTGTAGCCTTTTCGAATTTTGTGTCGTCGAAATATACCGCGCAAAGATATTTTTCACACAGAATCATTTGCCGGAAACTTAATTTTCATTATACTTTAAAAGTATATTATCTGTTATATGTTTGTTTTGTGTGTAGAACGGGAACATTCTTTTCCCGAGGAGAATTTCGAGTAACAAGATTTCGTTAAACGTCCTCTAAGTTTGTTTCCTTACTTTCCCTCTGTGAGAATCCCAAAAAGTTATCACAGCTCAAACCCTGAGAGAGATCCACCGTCCGTACCTGAACGATGATCGTGCGAGCGTGCTGTAGACGCGCGAGCAGAGATGTTGAAGCGCGATTGGGTTCGTCGCCGAGCGCGTGAATTCACGAAGGAAGTTCTCGGTAGGGTCTATCCCGGGATGGTGTCTCAGAGATAGACGATGATTGTCCGGATCAGAAGAAGCACGAGGAAAAGGGTGCGCCCTGCGGGTCCTGCCCTGGCGGATATTATTACGAGACTCTGCGTGTCCCTCGTTCCGCCACGTACGTGCGGCGACATTCGCGCGACGACGATGACGAAGATTACCCACTTTTCTACGGCCGCACGTCCCCTCGAACCTCGTTATTTCAGGAACGCGAGTTACATCGGGGCCGAATGGAGAGATCGCTGTCTCGTTACCGATTGCTCCGAGGATCGCGTGAAGTCTTACGCTTCTTTCTTTTTTTTTTCCTGTTCTTTCATTGTCATCACCCCGAGGGAGAATAATATTGGAATAGCGTGCTTGGAAAGTTACGATTGGAAGTGACGTAGCGTCGAACGACGAAAGTGCATTAATTTGTGAATCCGCAGCTGGCGGCGAGCCTCAAACTCGCTGGATTTATCGCGCGTTGAGATTATTAAATTTTCGGGAGCAGTTATTATAATTACTATCGCTGTACTTTAACTTTTGCAGAGAAATACGCTATTACGTAGGATAATAATTCATTTCGTTAGCATATTTAGTTCGGTTTGTTTGCGTTTTATTATATGAGCGAGGATGTGCGTATTAAAATGATTTACTTATTTCATATTTAATTTAGTATTTAATGTTTAACGCGACTAGCTTCATCGAAGCTAGACGTAAACGCGAGAAAAACGCGCGCTACCGTAATAAATATAATTTTTAAGCGCGAAATAACCGAATTTGAGTTAAAATTTGCGATTTTTCTGGGATCGTATATCGTCGATTACCGAACTCAAACCGTCGAACTGTGTCGAAGTTTAAAAAAAAAAACTTGACTATTTACGAGGTTACGGACATACCGTTCGATTTGATGCAGCAGCTTATTGTTCCCCGATAGAATTCCGCGGGAATAAAATTTAGCTTCTACCGTTGCATCAAAATACAGTTTCGATCCCATTTGAAAGTACAGAGAGAATTCCTTCCGCGCTCCCGTCTATCTCGCATCCCTCCAACCTCCCTCGTCCATCGCGGCCACCCCGTCGTCGTTTCATTCTCCTACCCTCGGCTTCCCTAGCGA